AGCTGATCAGATGTTATTTGATGAATGACGAATACGATAGCTTGGAACTGTTAGCGAAAAGTTTGCAGGATGGTGATAAACTTCTAATGGTGTGTGATTTGTTTTTCAATCCCAGTTAGCCATGAATTCTTATAAAAAACATTTTTTCCTTGAATTCTTATAAATAATGTTGTTGTTTTGGGGGAAAATTATACTCAGGAGCAGGCGATAAATTGAAAAGAAAAGAACACAGTGCATGGTTTGAAAACATAGTTTGGGGATAAAAGTTTTTTTACTTCTTGCTTATGAATACGCGCTTCTTTGGCTGTTGTTCACTGAGTTGACTTGGGACTTCAAAATTTATCGATTACTAAATGTGTCTTCCAGGAGGTGATCTGGGATGGGCACCTGAATCAATAAATTATTTCCGACCGAACAGGAATCTCATTTTTTGGAAGCCAGATTTTTTGAACTCTAAGTATTATTAGATTTCACATACCAACACTTTGATGAATCGGCTGACTTTTTACACCGCCAATGCGTGCTAAGAACAGATTCTTTTGAAACTGCGTCGGTAAAAAGGTGTCTCACCATCACATCCTTTTTAACACTTTATTTTGTATCCAAAAATAACTTTTTAGGAAATTGGTGAAATTTTTGGTGGTGCTGGTTTATGTGAACAAGCTGTGCAGTGCTATGTCCGGGTTCGTAATTTGGCTACAAATCTGTATTTTGTTAGAAAAACATTTGGCCGCTTGGGCCAAGACTATCAGCACAGCTCATACAAATTGGTATGAAGTAGCGTCGAAAATATATTTGAAAGACGCGTTTGCGAACTTCGCTCATTGGAGGCTATTGGAGTTAAAAAGCGAGCTCCATGCGAGAGCATGATCAGAACCTGCGCTCCTAAAATTTCAGCTTTCTAATTGGTCCCATAGCAGAGGTGAAAATGATTATATCCCGAAAAATACACATTCAAGCTTTGGCTAACATGCGTTTTCGCATTTGTACAGATAAAGAAATTTAAAAGAAAATGCAGATTTCCATGAAAAATAAGAAATTTGACAAATGTATTCCAGTGCGATATGCTAAACGAAGCACTGGATATATGTATAAAACTGAATCAATGGGAATATGCTGTTCAGCTATCAAAAACACACAATCTTCGTGATGTTGATCCGCTACTTAGTCGATATGCGGAAGAACTAACCGGTCAGTTTTAGGCATTTATCTTCTCTTCAGACCAAGCAGCTGCCAGTTGTTCAATTTATTTTTCGTAACAGCATGCGTTTTCGCGCTCACATGGATTTGTTTAAACGCTGAAAAACTCATTAAAGGAGCATTTGGATCTGCCATGCTATAGCAGCAGCTTGTCAGTGATACTCATAAAAATTATACCATTACTCACAGAGCCTCCGGAAGGAAATGCTCACTGAACGAGTTTTTCTTTCATTCATTTCCACATTTTATAAGGTTTTGTTGCAGGAAGCAATGAGAAGACTCTGGCTGCTGTTCAGCTTTATCGACGAGCCGGAAAATATCTACAGGCAGCTCGCACTGTGTTTGATGTATGTATTATAAGACAGTTCTTTCTTTAGCTTTTTAATCTATTGATCCCATTAATCAATTTTCCCCTGGAGACTGCACCTGTTATTCTGTTTGTGCTTACAGCTCCTTGATTACCTTACATTTATTTCGAGAACTTTAATATTTCAAACTCTTTTCTCTTTTCTGCTTAGATTGTTAAAG